AAGGTTCGAAGCATTCGCCCGTACTCTCTTCGCCATATTCAGTGTCACACTCCACCACTCCAACTTGTGGGCATGAAAGGCCGCAATCTCAATGTGCTGCCTTTTTCGATGCCATCATGGCAGGAACTACCAAAGATAGAGTGGAAACTAACCAACTTTACAAGGTTTTATTGTTGAAAGAAATTCGTTTTTTGTCAGCTCGTGAAAGCTAGGATTGACACTGTCTCCTGAAGAAAAAAAAAATGTATGCAGGCTTTTTTACTCAGCCTCATTTCTAAATAGCCCTTATCTAAGGTGAAGTGACTGATTTTGGAAAGTGTGAGTGCAACTCTTTACGTAAAAGTTGCACACAATATTTTCCATAAATTTTAATATAGAGAGCTAGAAATTCAAAGCAATTACCTTCTGCTGCAACCAAGCTGGAAAGAAAAATGAGAGTTAGTCTTCCGATCATCCTTATTCATATTAAATTTCATCGGTGATGTTTTTATAACGATTTGGCGGTTAGTTTTGACTGAAATTATGATGTTGCCCTTTCCCGCATTCAAAACAGAGACGCACACTCATTGATGAGGAATTTTCTAGATACACATTACATTCTTTTTCATGACTATGCAGTAACTGCTTTGGACTTATTGAACGGCTCACATAAAGATTTTTTCTGAGATATAATGTTTTTGATTTGCGGAAACTGAATGACTTGCACAAATTTTGGCAGAAAGATGCAAGCAATCTATAAATTTCCCATTTTCTACGTTCATACATATACCCCTACCTTTGCTTGCTCCAAAAGTTCAGTTTTCATTGCTAAAAATTTTGATTTTCTATAGAAGATGCTTGGCTGTTAATTCAAAATGCTCATTACAATCAAAAGGCTTCCCATGGTGTCAATCAATTTTCAAAGTTAAATTATTCATTGAAGTGAAAGCTGAGGTGTAGGGTGCTCAACTATGGCGCAACACCTACTGATTGCATTAAGAGGACAATTTTTGACCATGTCTTGAACTACTCGATACTTCCGCACCGTTACGCAACGGAACAGCTCTTGTCACGCACAGGTTGCGTAATTACAACTGACACGGTGTTTCTGCTATAAAACATTCTTCGTAGAGATAAGTGAATTTTAGGCTTTCCGAAAGAGACTGTTCGCAACGGCATTCACCACTTTTCTTCATTTTTACCCTCTAATGGACCTCCGAAAGTAATGAAGAATAGTGCTTTAGACATGAAAGTATTTAATGTGAACATTCTTCTAATTTACTTACTCTACTCAGTATTCCTATTTCTGTTTCCATAACAAATTCTGGATGTCATAAGCCAAAATCAAATCCGATAGAGAAAAGTTTCACCGCATCTCTAACGAACAAAAGATATAGAAGAAAATCACGATCTTCAAACAACCAATATTTTATATTGGGCATGAACACTCAGCATGCTTCTCGGTAGAGATGTTTTTTCAAGTAACATCTTCCAAACATCTTGAATCTCTCAATCACAGATTATCCTCACTAACACATTTCTATTTTCATAGCATTGCGCGCAGTTTGGATTCACCCCCACCACTTGCGGAAGCATCTCATAAGGATGGAAACGAGTTTATTTGAGGTCGAGAA